ATTACTAAAAAATCTCTAGAAAGATTTATGTAGACTGTCCCTGAAATCTTGCTGAGTTGCTTATTCACACACCCTCATAGTTGGAGGCTGTCCCTGTTGAATGGAGGGGGGAAAGAGTCTGATGCTATGATGACAATTTAAGCATTTATACCTAAGCATATCAGTGTAGTTCTAAAAACAAACAGTTAAAACAAAATACTGCAGAAAAACAGACTGGTGAACAGAAAACATATTTAAGCAGTTTCATTTTGTGAACGAAGGTCCACCAGTCGAATGACATTCACATGATACGTCGTGATACATATCATGGGGTTGTGGGGAAAAACCCAGCCTTAGTTCACGCATGCAATTCACTTTTAGGAAGTTTTCAGGAGTTGTGTGCATAAGTGAAGAGGACTTAATAGTGGCAGTAGAGCATGTCTGCAATCACAAAAGTCTGTAGGTTTCATCTTCTTGCATGAACCATGCAAGTATGAACAATTTATGTGCCAATTGCTGTAGTAGCTGTTGAATTATTTTGCAGTTTAAAATCCAAATGTATGCCTGCTGGAGGCACATTGGAATATTCAAGGTATCACCAAAGTCATAAGGATTCATCATCCGGCCACATAAATGTCTATTAAAAAAAAAAGTGTAATCTTAAAGCAGCCAACAGTGGAGATATTTTAGTAAACAGTATTTTGACTAACTCATCACCATCTCTCCAACTGTATCACTAACATGGCTAATATAACGATTTCTGAAAATCTATAATTCATTTTTCTATTTGTTTGATCGTGGCTCTAACTGTCTCCTTGAGCTGGGAAGATGCTGTGCTGCTGCCTCCCTTCATACAGCTCAGCCCATTAGTCAGGCCACTAATTATACTGCTTACCCACATAGTCGATCATCAGCGTAAACACCCACCGAGCTCCCTCTCTTTCCCTCTCTCATCTGAGTACCACCAAGGACGCGGTGACAGTAGGTCTAACCCAGAATAGAATTCCTCTGTGTATCTTTGTGTATCCACCCACACATGCCTAAAACACACCTCACCCTCTCTGAGGACCGTGAAACATGTCAATACGCCATCCTGCCTCACAAACATTTGAAGTCAAAGCTTCTTATGTCAAATTATTCAAACAGTACTGTCAACAATCAGTGGTGATTTTCATTGTTAAAGCAGCTTGTGGTGGGAAAGAAAAGACACGGGTTCAAACCCCCCCCCCCTCACTGAACATCAAGTGGCTATCTGCCCAGCTCTGCGCTGGAGAAACACGCTGGCAATCTCACAATGATTCCTGCACTTAGACGGGAGGAGCTGCTAGGCACCTGTTTCATTAGCACCACACATCTTTCTTCCTCAGTTTTCTCCCCCAACCCCCTCCACCTCCTCATTCTTCTCTCCTTCCTCCCGCAAGCCTCGTTATTCAAATTTCCCTGCTGTCAGCCCACATTAGCAAAGCGCCACAGTTTGCCTGTCAGCTGGCTTAATTGCTGGAGGTGCCTTCTTTTATTAGGTAACCCCCTCCGCTCGTTTGTTCTTTCCACCGAGACATAGCTCCACAACAGCTGCTTGTGTAAACCTGCGATCCCCTCAGCCTCCTTTCCTTCATTTTCTTCTGCCTTTTCTTTGTCTCTCTCCATCTAATCGGTGGCTGGGAAATGCTGGCAAGCTCCTGATCGATAGCCACTTTCACCACTGGACAACAGTGGTGATAAAGAGCTAAAAGCATGCTAGGACTGGGGAAGAGGAGGCTTGCTTTATGCTAGCTCTGAGGATGAGAGGAGAAGGATCTCAGTCACTTGTTCAGAACACTCTCCCTACAACATGAGGAGCAACTAGATACATGGAATGAGATTCAGACCAAGGTCACACTTAGCAGTATTTAACACACGTTTGCCCACTTTCAATGATTTATTAGAATTCTAGATTATATCCTACAGCCCCAGAAATCCAACCAGGTCACAGTGGAGATTAAGAAGCTCAACTGTAAACTGTGTTAAATCCAAATTCACTTTGCCTTAAAATCAGATTGATGGCAACCAATTATGGATTTTAAGAAAGCACAGTATACCTAGTAGCATTCTGCATACTACATCAGTGTTCAGAATAGAATAATGGATATGATTGGTGACATTCAATGATGTGTACATTGATAGTAACCAGGGCCTTTATGGTGTGAAGATAAAAATCACAAGAAGGGGTTTATAGAAATATTTATACACATTAGTAATGTAATACTGTATTCCATTTTTTTTAAAGCATCCATTTTTTAAACATAGTTTAAGAGTTTTTTTCCAGACAGTAAAAAATATCATGTTTGATGTTAGTGACTTTGACAAATTCTTCCTCAGGATACAGTCCAGGTAGAAAATAATTGATTGACTATACGAAAATCATGATGACATTTAAGAGATCCGTTTTACATTTCACATGTCACCTTTTTCAATTGCCTTGGTCACGTTTACCCACGCAGCAAACCCTTCCCCCAGCACAGGGCATAGTTCAGGTTTAAATGGTGGGAATAACTTATTGATATCTTGATGTGAATTCTGAGCTTTTATTCTCTGGTGTCTTCAATCACTGACTGATAATTGTGTAAACTTCTCAATATCTGGCCAACCGGTGAGAGAAATATATTACATTATGAAATGTATGTCTTTTTTTGTTTAAATGGGTCAGGCAATAACATTATAAGTGTCATGACAGGATGTCATTTTGAGTTTAATACCATTTGATATATGTTTTCTTCTTTCCCATTTCTGTTATTTGTCATGTGTCTGCAGCTATGGCTGATATGAACTAAGACAGCTAGACCTGCCATGTCCTGTTCACTTCTCAGCTGGTCTACTGTGGTTGGCAAGATCACAAAATCATCTGCGCACAAATATGGGCACGAAGCATTTTTAAGAACATTCTATGTAATGTTCATGCAATTTGCACCACAGATGATGCTCCTTATGAATATGTGTATTCTAAAAAGGTAAATCTTGTCACCCAAGGTCAAAATGATAACAAAGTTTATATTCATCCCCTGACAGCAGGAGTCCTGCTGTTTTACAGCCTCTTGTTATTTTACGCTTATTCTGTGTTAACATTTTTTTGCACCAATACATCAAATCAAATTTCTTGTATATTGAAACATACCTGGAAATAAACCTGATTCTAATTCCGATTTTATTACATGAAACAATCATGAAAATCTGTCCCAAGAAGTGATAAAGATGCAAAAAGCTGTGAAAGGATATACTACCTAACAGAAGGAAACAAAGTTGCTTGGTTACAAGAATAATAAAAATGTGTTTGTAGTTGAACAATTTGTAATTGTCATTTGATTGAAACAAGCTACATTTTCATTACAATGTGGGTCACAGGTTTATGTAATATATGGGTCACATCCTTCACAGCAGTCAAGTAGCCAGTGATGACAGGTTACTACCAGCCCAGCGTTTCAGAGATTAAACAGTTTGCCAGGTGGAGTGGTCCTTCACTGTGAGGTGCAAACAAGAGCGAGTGAGGGCCAGAGACTTTCTCAGGACGGGTGTCTCACAGGGTCTTGTTGAGATCTGTGGAGGGTTGAAACGAAACAGGGAGCACATGGCCTAAACATTCCACCCAGACCTGCCACAGTCTGCTCCTCTCGCCCCGGGACGCCTGCCCATACATTAAGATGTGGTTTGGAGCTCTCACAGGAACACAGCTAGGAGAGGTTGGATGAGAGGGATTGGGTTTACAGTGCAAACCACAGAGCCACAGTCTGCCTCCTGCCCTGCCTTCCTGCAGTCAGCTCCACTACACACAAAGCTGCTGATGTGAATATGTATGATGCTTGTGTGTGTGTCTGCGTGCTGTATGTTTGGTTATAGGGGATCTCACATTATTGGTTTAATGGAAGATAACAAAGTCACAATGCAAACAAATTATAACAACCTCTTTTTGGGTCATTTCTTGCATGAATGAGTTGGGGGAATTAATTTAGATTGGTGTCCACACATTTGCATGAACTCATACGTCAGTGTAGTTAATCTGTGTTTCAATGCGTTGGACATGAATGTGAAAACACAGTCAGGGGTGGGGTGCAGGGTGGCATGGCTAAGGGATGTAGATGAGGGTTAGACAAATGAGCAGGTCTTAATTGATACTTCACACAGCTGGAGGACCAGTGTTTATGTATTTCAGTCAGCTCAAAAGCTCTCCACCTAACCTGACTAAGACAAATTACAGCCATGCAGCATGAAAATCGCTCAAAACCCCTTGCACCTAAAAAATTGAATATTGACTTCTTCTCTTATTCCAGACACATTAGAAGCGTTAAGTAATGGACTTCTGGTTGTGGCTGGATCTTAAAAGAGGCACAGCTCCTTGCTTCAATACATCAAATCAGTAAATCCTGGGATTGGGTCATGATGATTCAAAAGAACTTAAAAACAAAAGCAGATTTTTTTTTTTCTCTACACAAGTGGCACTTGAGAAGGGCAGTCCATTGAGTAAAGGTGTCAACAAGCCAAGTTGACTCACCCCCTCTTTCTCCCTCTCCCTTATGTGAGTAAGGGACAAACACACACTTCATCATCTGGGTCAACTCCACAACGGTGTGGAAATAGAAGGAAACTCCATGTTTCTGAACTGGTGTTGGCCACCAAGGACACGAGATCCACGCACAAAGATACTCAGCAGAGTTGAACGCTGTTAAAGCAAGGGGTTTGCTTCATTAAACTAATGACAGCAACATGCCTGACCTTCATACATCACACGGGGCGTTAATATAGCCTAATGGAGAATAAGCTTATTTTTAAATCACGTTTTTCTCCACAACAGACTCCCCGGAAATGCAATATGCAAGGATGGCAAACACTTACATCGGTTTTCTACTTTGTTGCACACATTTAATACGGTTTAAAATCCATCTAGCTTTTTTTTTTAAATTATTACAGACACGTATAAATTAAAGTTTGAAATAGCCTACAAGACATTTACCCTGCGTGCATACGGTTACATAGCAACGTAGCCTACTTACCGGTGGTCGGTTTTGAGGAAACATTGTAGCCGCCGACTTGTGTGTCTCCGTGTACGTTTTTTTTTTGTCCTTCTTCTTTCTCCCCTTTGGGCCGGAAAGCTTCGTCGAAAAATACGAGCAGCCAATGTACTATTGTTGGTCTCAGAGAGGCATTTGGCCCGCTTTCAAAGGTAATGGCAAAGCGAGTCTCGGTACGCTCATTCCTTGCTTCAAGACTCCTTTGTTCTGGGTGATATCTCCAGCCCCAAACCGCACCGCGCTCGACGTGTAGTAAGGACGGGGAGAGGAGAGGAGAAACACCCGGTCCGAGGAAGGAGGCTTTCTTTCCAAGTCCTCAACTTCGCGATTCCTGCGATTATAATATCGCAAATGGTTTCCCTCTCCGATTTTCCTCGCCTTGTGTAGCATAAAGGCCAATGAGATGGGGGGGAAAATGTGGTTAGCTTGTGGCTTCAGAGACGGACACACCGCCGGCACATTCAATGCAGCCACAGCCTCTTTTGTCTCGCTCGTTGGCCTGCACTCTTTTCACACAACACTCCCAGTCCCTCTCTTCTCTCACTCCCCCTTCTCTAAATCTCAATGGGACATAACATATGAGGAGCTTTCTTCCAAGGAGGGGGTAGAGCTAAATAGAAGGTTTTACCTACTTCTCCCCCCCCCCCCACACACACACACACACACACTTTGTTTTGCCCAAATTAATAACCAAAATGTTCATTTTTGTCTGGGAAAATCCAATTTGCCTTTGAAAGTTTAAATACTGGGCTAAAAAGACAATGCTGTTCTTCAAAAAAGCCTGATGATATTTGCAAAGAATGTTATTTTCTAATCGTAATTAGCTCCGTCCTCATGAAGTCATGTAAAAGAAGAATGATCCTCACAATTAACACATTTTAATTTTATAAAAAAAAAAAAAAGTGCAGAATTTTCTTGAGAAACAAGGGATTCAGAGGATGTGTTCAGTGATTGAATGAAATCTCCACGTGGGGCTCAGCCTCGGCACAGTAAACACTGGTAAAATGAGCCAATGAGAGCCGAGGACACCCACGTGGGGGTGTACTGGCCATTTGCTGATTGGACGGCACAGGTAGCACAATGCTTCGCACGTCAATCAAGCCCGCTACAATCGCAGGTTAACCCTTTCCTAGGTACAGGCTGTGATTGGGGGGGGGGGGTATCAAGATTCAGTGGTTTTCCTTTTTCTTCCCACAAACTGTCAATGCTTTAAAAATACTACATTAGCCCCCTTTCGTCCTGTTGATGTGGAAGTGAATGTACTCTGCGCTATCTTCTGTAACCTTGTGTCGTTTTCTTCATGTCAAAAATTAATCATGACCACAGTGAACATCAAAAAGGGAAAAAAAGATAGAAATAAGAGCCAAAGAGGGCTTACAGAAAAAAAACAATACATACAATACTGTAATGCTTGCACATAGCATTATATCCAACTTGTGCGTTGTTACATGGAAAAGGAGAAATGTGGAGACGAAGGCAGAAATGGTGGAAAAATTGGTATTCTGGTGGCACGACCCCTTTGGCGGGGCTCATAATTAGAGAGAGAGATATTGAAAAAGCAATTTCTGACAGTGGAAATCACAACCTGCCAGAGGTGGAGTTGGAAAATATAGATGGTTGTGTGTGTGTGTTTGTGTGAGAGTTTGTGTGTGTGAGAAAAAGACTGAGAGAGGAAAGGCAGAGGGTGAGGAAGGGAGGGAGGGAAGGAGGAGGAAGAGAATAAAGGATGAAGGACAGCAGGGGGGGATGCTGAGAAAGACGAGCCAGTAGGAGGGTTAGAGATTGAACGAGAGGGAGAGTGCACACGGGTGATGAAAAAAAGTGTGTGTGTGTATGTGTGTGTGTGTGTGTGTGTGTGTGTGTGTGTCTCATGCAAGGAAGTATGTGTGTGTGTGTGTGTGTGTGTGTGTCTCATGCAAGGAAGTATTGTGTGTGTGTGTGTGTGTGTGTGTCTCATGCAAGGAAGTATTGTGTGTGTGTGTGTGTGTGTGTGTGTGTGTGTGTGTGTGTGTGCGCGCTTGTGTGAATGTATGTGTGTTCAGCAGACAAGTGAGGGAATGAAAAGGAGAGAAGGGTGAGGGGAGCAAGTGGGCAGGGAGGAGAAGGGAAGAGAGAAAGAGACAAAGAGAGAGGTAGAGAAAAGAGAGAGAGAGAGAGAGAGAGAGAGAGAAAGATTTTATTGCCATTTTTCCTATGAATTTTAATGCACAGCCCTGGTCTCCCTCCCAGATTCTTGGATCACATTTATTAGAAAGAAAAAGTCATGAGGAATGCAGAGCTTTGCAGTCTGCTACTGCTTTGTGTTGTGTGTGTGTGTGTGTGTGTGTGTGTGACACTGTGTTTTGGGGAAGGGGGTACACAGGATGTATAAGACTTCATTGCTGGGGGAAGGCATAATAATATAGATCATAGAAAATGATAAGTGAAGGACACACATTATTGCTATTGGCAGGTCAGATGAAGGAGTGGTGTGCTTGCTTGGTGTGTGTGTGTGTGTGTGTGTGTGTGTGTGTGTGTGTGTGTGTGTGTGTGCGTGTGTGTGTGTGTGTGTTGTTGTTGTTGGCTGAGCTCCAGTGATTAAACACACAGTCCACAGTGCCCTCCTCTCCACACAGTGAGCAGCAGGACATCAAAGTGAGCTCACAATGGTATGGGACCACAATGGTCGTAATGCTACAGGAGCTTTTGGTTTTTGGTTTTAGCACGTTCATGTGAGTTTCAAAGACACAATTGTGTCACACACATATGCTGAGTTCAACAAAAAATACATGCTCATCTACACACCTAAACATTGTGGGAAAGTGCCCAAGGGAGCAGTAGCATCCTTTTATAACCACAATTCAAGGTGTGGAAAAAAATAGCCCTGCAACACATGCCAAACCACCAGCAAAGTACACCAACAGCAGAAAACAGTTTTTCAAACGAGGTGATGAAAACATAACAAGTTCCCACAAAACTCCAGAGACAACTTTATTCTGTTAAACTGCACCTATATTAGCATAAATGGGCCTCCCAAAAACACAGGACAATTAAGGTCTAGATCTTTGTTGAAGAAGAAGATTGGACTATCTTTTCTTACACACTTTTTCTTTGTTCATTGGGAGGTCACACAATGAAAATGTTAGTATCAATTAGCTTCACCTGTCTGGTGCTGTCTAAGTATATTTCACTTGTTCCACTCTTACAACACATTTTTTTCTGAAACATATTCACTCATGGTAAGCATTTATGATCATTTTAAAAAATCAAAGAGCAATGCCTTTTATTTGCAGACACACAGTACATTCAAATATGCCACAATCATAAGGTCTAGACAACAGTAGCAGACACATCAAGGGGCTACAAGTCATGATCCATTTCCAGCTCTTCAGATATATTTTCCTAGATATGAAAAATTGTCTTCCTTTTTTTATTTTATTCGACCTAATTTTTATCATGCACAGCAGACCCTTCCTGTCTCAGAAATTAAAAAGTTGACTCTTTCTTGAAATATCACAAACTAAAATATAATCTTAAAATTCAAATCAGCCCTCGGACACGTAAAAGGGACAGTGGTGTATTTTTCCTAATAGTTCCACATTTTTAATCTACAACTGACAGGCTGAAAGGAATGATACTGGTGGAAGGTGCTTTGGTTCCGGTCATAAACTTTTGGTTTTGTGGTATCCCAATTTAATCTCCACCCATCTCGGCCCCACAGTTTCTCCCCGATGGACCCAGCGTGGGCTTGAGTGACAGGTAGACAAGGCCACTGTGTTGTCACACTGGTGCCCTCCCCCAGCCCCATCCCCAACCCCCACCTCGTTTTGCCCCCCACCTCTTCCTTGTCCCTCATCAGACAAGCTGGGTGTCAGCGAAGAGACGGCATCGTGATTTATTGGTCTCCAGTCCTCTTGGGTCCCTCCCCTGTTACACACACACACCTCCACACAATCTCCAACCCCTCCTCTCCATCCTCCTTCTCCACACACCCTCTCCACCACCCTCCATTTTCCCATCCCCCCTTGGCCCCTAGTCTCCCCACCTTACCCCTCCCCTCCTGTCCTCTCCTGCTGCATGGCCCCTGGGGGAACGAAAGGGTAATGACCCACATCAGCAGCAGCTCTGCTCACACACGTGCACGCCACACACACTTGAACACACACACACACACAAACACGCCACACACACACAAACACGCCATACAGACACACACACACACACACACACACACACACACACACACACACACGCCAAACACACACAAACACGCCATACAGACACACACAAACAAGCCACACACACAAAAACAGACACACACACACACAAACACGCCACAAAGACACACACACACACAAAGACACACACACTTCCTGTCCTCCATGCACACAGATACAAAATAAATACCCCATGTGGCACACATACGCACATGTATGCACACATAAAACACACGCTGACACATTTACGCCCACAGGCATGCATGTGTGTGTGTGTGTGTGTGTGTGTGTGTCGGAACTCAGGAATTCCACTGCTGTGCCAAAACGTTGTTTCCCCTCTCTCAAGTCTCCTCTACACTGAAGAGATCAATACAAAACCATCTTCTATGATATTCACTAATCTCTTCTTCTTTTTGGTAAATAGAAAAGATTCAATCATAATCTGTTGTAACCTCAGGAAAAGGGAACTAAAAGCTCCTTTTCGCTTGATCTATTCCTTATAAGACACAACAAAGAGAGGACTCGTGTCTCTGTGCAGTTTACAAGATCTCCATTGGACTTTCCGACTTAACGTGAAAGCTCCAACTTGCCTAATATGGCCATGAAATTAAAAATTGCACAATCACAAATGTAGAGTTTAAGTTCAAGGAGATTAAGAAAACAAATATTCCTCATGGTGTCTTGTTGCAAAGGAGATTACTTCATTAATGCCGGATGAATTCATAGACAAGGTCAGCACAAAGATGCTTCATATTCTCACATTATTTCTGCTATTTAGGGGGAAGAGACAAAAGAGCATCTCTCCAGAGGCTGATTTTAAATTCAGACAGTTGCAACTGCTACTGAGCTGATATGGTCTCACACAGCCACGCTCTCGTTAAAAAAATAAATAAAAGTGAACCGCCACAGTTTTCAACTTGATTGTTGGCAAGCTTGAGAGTGCAGTTCATGTGTTAAATTGTGACTTTTAATAGGAAGGAGATCGCATGAATTCATTATTCTTTTAAAGTTGACATGGAATGTAATCAAGAGTGAAATGATGCGTTGGATGATGACAGAACCTGTCAAGAAAACAAAGAAAGAAAAAACACAAACAAAAAGAAAGATGGATCCTCTTATTTTACAACACTTTAAAAGAAAATAGTAGCCACATTTTTAATTTATCTATAGCAAATGATACCAGACATAGCATTATCTCGATATGTAGAACGAATAGAACTCACATTTCCACTTTTAAAAACAATGTATTTGATGTGTCATGCAAGTGTTTACCATAAACACGCCAAATGAAACTACAATACTGCATTACTGCCCCCTGCTGCTCGACACAGGTATTGCAGAGAACTATAATAGACAAGATTGGCAGAGGTTTCTCCCTGGATCGATACTGCAGTCTAAATATTAAG